GTGTTTCCTGACATCAGGGTCCTCAGTTTTTGGCTTTTCAGTTTGGGGCACCTTGGAAGAGCTTGACATTCAGAGAGTTTTCTATAATTCAAGCCTCATAAAATCAATGAGCAGGACAACAGGTGATGTGTGTTTTGCCCAAAGAGGTGGATCAGCTATTCCAAGATATACCCCAACAGAGCTGACATTTGGTGACGTGTTTTTAAACACTAGCTCTTTTAAAAATCTTGGCCTCAAAAGCTCAAATCACTTTTTAATAAGGGCTTAGGCCCCTGAGTCACTTCAGTATTTTCTGAAAATGTTATTCTAAAATCCTTCTTTGTACTGAAACTCCCAAACTATGAATGTACCTAGTACTACACAAGACTCATGGCTTGGCTTTTGGTGTTTTCAGAAGAGCTCATTGTCAGATTTTTAAGGTCTCAGTACCCATAACTGGGGACACATTTTCAATAATGCTGAGTTCCTATTGAGGTTCCCACATAAAGGTCAGATTGTGACTTTTTTTTTTCCTTGTGGAAATCTGGCTCTGAGGGTGAGCATACAACTCCTTTAAACATTGTTGTTAAAGGCTAAGTATAGACAGTCCAAAAGCCGGAGGCTGAATCAATTCAGTCTTTGCAAGTTAGTCTAAACTGCAGAGATTAAACTGAGAAACAACTCTACAAATGTTCACTTTTGATTTAGGAGATGCAGCCACGTACCTGCAGTGGCTCAGGCCAGCAGCTGGGGGGTGCAAAAGCACAGCTCTTTGGCACATAGTCAGTATGGGCTGTGTGTTCACTTCCTCTTCCTGCTTCCCCTGAGGTCTCTGGGATTTGCAGTCCATAATCACAGCAGCAGGATTCTGCAGAGTTGCTCATGACTTCCTCTTTCTGCTTGCAGATGCTTCTAGGATTTGTAGTCCACAGTCACAGGCAGTAGTATGTTTTTAGCAGGGCAGGGCAGGGCAGGGCAGGGCAGGGCAGGGCAGGGCAGCTCTGTACTCAGAGAAAAGGAAGTCTAGCCCTCACTCCCTGGTCCCAGATGGGGTTTGCCTTGCGGGGGGGGGGGGGGGGGCCCGGCCCCCCCCCCCCCCTCCCTTCCCCACCCTTCTGTGCTGGAGCAGACAGCACAGCCTAGCCCAGCCCAGCCCAAGGCTGGAAAGCATGCTGGGGCACTGTGCACTGAACTGTTTCCAATCACTTAAACCAGTTTATGTGTAACTTGTCCCTAGCCAAAATGAGCACCCCACAGTCCCCAGTTGCTACTGATGCTGATAGGCAACATGTATGCTCTCTATCTGTACACCCCAGACAATGTAGAAGTGATATATCACTTGGTGGTACTTCAATAGCCATCTGAATTCTGGTGACTCGCCAAGATAGACCAAGGGCTGAAAAGTTATGAATGATGCAGTCATCTAGTCCAAAAGTTTGGTTAATGTAAATTGGTGTAGCTCTATGGACTTCGGTAATATTACACTGATTTGCCTCCACTGATGATCTTGTCCATTATGTCTTACAGACATGCTGCATTCTTCCAGACACCATAACCTTAGACTAAAACTTCCCTTTAGTGGAATTCTTTCATTAGCCATATATTTGTGTGTCAAGATAGCTCAAAAGCTACAATAAGCAATAATCTAGCTATAGGCCTAGACAAGCAGAATAGAATTACCCTTTGGGTGAAAGTACAGTATTATAAAGAGGAAATTATAATCTTTCTCCTCACAGATACAGGATATTGTAATAGGATTTGTGAGTCATGACAAACCACAAACTGTTTTCCAATCCTCAAACATCTTGTGGTGTAGTTTATTTTTTTCTAATTATGTGCCAGCCTATAAACCCTACAGTTAATAGGTCAGCGTACTTCCAATTCATGGTGTCTTGATGTTTAGATACAAAACCATAAAACTACAATTTCATGTTATGTGATAGTATGCATTATGGAATGGCTTAAGAGTCTCATTAACTTATACTTTCAGCTTTTGGAGGATATTTGTCATCTGGTTCAGTGTGGGGGCACGCATGAATGAGACAGAAAGAGAGAGTGCACATACTTGGGGAAGGGAGAAATACAAACTTTATTTTTATATAAGAGTCAGTGAGTGAGCATTTTTCTAATATCCTTTCCAGAAAATTAAAATTGAAAAGCAGAGTCAGTATATGCCGTGTCTGTCCATGCTTCACTTATTGCCTCTGTGTGCTAACAACATCAGAGATGCATGAGAGACAGAGAGAAACTCCATGTGCCAGTGAAGTCATTGGCCACGGGTACAGTAAAACCACTGTATTTAATGTAATGCTACCAGATGGTTTCCCAGACACTATGCCCAATGGTGAAAACCTGAAGTTAGGCAAAAAGGAATGAGGATTTTCATGAAATTATCCCAAAGTTACTGTCTTGTCTGAACAAATGTTTTTTATTTGTGCTGTGCTAACATTTAGCCTGAATTGCACAACAAAACAACAGAACAACTTTCAGTAAGGAGCTCTATCTAACTCCCATAGCATAACCCACACAGTCAAATGGGTCGCCAACTGGCTGGAGGGCCGCACCCAGAGGGTGGTAGTGGATGGGTCTTTCTCAACTTGGAAGGACGTGGGCAGTGGGGTTCCGCAGGGCTCGGTCCTCGGGCCCGCACTGTTCAACATCTTCATCAGTGATTTGGACGAGGGGGTAAAAAGCACCCTGTTCAAATTTGCTGATGACACTAAGATGTGGGGGGACGTGGGCACACTAGAAGGAAGCAACAGGCTACAATCAGACCTAGACAGGTTACAAGGGTGGGCGGATGAGAATAGGATGGGGTTCAACACAGACAAGTGCAAGGTGATGCACCTGGGGAGGAACAACCGGCACCATACCTACAGGTTAGGGAACTCCCCTCTTGTCAGCACGGAGGCGGAAAAGGATCTTGGAGTCATCATTGACTCCAAGATGAACATGGGCCGGCAGTGTGGGGATGCAGTCAGGAAGGCCAACCGTACCTTGTCATGCATCCACAGATGCATCTCGAGCAGGTCCAAAGAGGTGATCCTCCCCCTCTATGCAGCACTGGTCAGGCCGCAGCTGGAGTACTGCATCCAGTTCTGGGCGCCGCACTTTAAGAGGGATGTGGACAGCATCGAGAGGGTCCAGAGGAGGGCCACTCGTATGATCAAGGGACAGCAGGGTAGGTCCTATGAGGAAAGGTTGCGGGACCTGAACCTGTTCAGCCTTCAAAAGAGAAGGCTGAGGGGGGATCTTGTGGCCTGTTATAAACTGGTTAGGGGGGATCAGCAGGCGCTGGGGGAGTCCCTGTTCCCCCGAGCACCGCAAGGAGTGACCAGGAACAACGGTCACAAGCTGGCGGAGGGAAGGTTTAAGTTGGACATCAGGAGGCGCTACTTCACGGTCAGGGCGGCTAGGGTCTGGAACCAGCTTCCAAGTGAGGTGGTGCAGGCTCCCACCCTGGGGGTTTTTAAGAGGAGGTTGGATGAACACCTTACTGGGGTCGTTTGACCCCAGTACTCTTTCCTGCCATGGCAGGGGGTCGGACTAGATGATCTTCTCAGGCCCCTTCCGACCCTAGAAACTATGAAACTATGAAACAAGGTCAGGGTCCCAGGAGTGGCCTTGATGGCTGCTGCCAGCTCTACGATCATGCCCCTCTAGGGTGCCCTCCACTCTTTCCTGCCACGCCTTGATGGAAATATGATAAAAATAGGCTGCTTGCAGGTCTTTGTGTGGCCCCATTTTGCCTGAACCTCCAC